GCTATGAACACTAAATAAATGAATGATTATTTAATTATTTATCAAACAATCAGTAAAGTTCAATTAATAAAGTTAATTAATTTAAGTTACCAAAGTACATCTTTTGGATTACCATATTTATTAAAAGTAATTGCTCTTGCTATTGGTTGTGATGACAAATAGCATCTTTTTAAAACAAGATATTGTTGAAATGGATTTTTCTTTAAAAAGCTTTTTTTGATATTATAAAGACTCATTTTTCAATTTTTAACATGTGATTAAAAAAGCATATTGTGTAACTTTAATAATCGTTAATATCAAAATGCAACTATTAAACTATCAAAAATTTTGAAGATTCTCACAGGAGAGGAGAATTCATAAATTAACTCAAAAGAAGATATTCTTGCCAAAATAGTTTAAAATTTTTTGATGGAGAAAGAAAGTGTTCTTTAGAAATTGGAATGGCTAAACAATATTTACTATTATTTTTAAAATATTTAATGTTTTAATAAATTCATTGCTAATTATTGTAAAGCCTCTGACGTTCAAAGTAACTTCTGCATTTTAGCCAAAGATGGCAACTTCCAGAGTCATTTTCTTCCGTTTTTTTTTCTTCAATAGGAATTTGTTTTTTTTTCTACTTTCCTTACTTGATATGACCATAACATGGGTTATATATTACATATAATCTAAGGAATAATTCCATATTTTTCGAAATTGGAAAGAACATTAACAACTATTTGACTATGTATTTGTAAAAAAACTGCATTGCGATGCAATCAAAAATGTCCTTCATCATTCGCAAAAATTTCTTTTTGTCTTGACTAGTTTTTTCAATACATTCATTCCATGTATTTCCAGCCACTTTACTAACTAAATATCCATAACGCATTTATTTTTCTTGATCGAATAGATTCTTTCTTCGATTGAAATATAAATCAGGATTCTTACTCATAAAAAGACAGACCATTAAAACAGATGATTAATAAATTTAAATAAACAAAACTTATAAAAAACAACACCTTTTTTGAGTACTCGTTTTCTCAGAATTATTATGCTGGTCTATAAAAATATGAATTTAATTAATGATGTATAAAATACAAAACAGAAGCAATTTACTGAAAAGGCCTCAAATAGCACATACGTTGCTAATCCAAAAGGTCTATCTTTAAGAACTTTTGCAGTTTTAAGGGCATTAGCAATCCTTCGATTTTCCAAGTGCTGACATGTGAAGCCATCGTTATATTGCTTTGAAATTGGATTACATCCCCCCCTTTCCTGTTTCAACAGTTGTGCCATGACAAACCGAGAAACATACGGCGAAGCAAAAATGGAATTGTTTTGAGTCCTCTGAGACAGGAGGGTGCGGGTAATTTCCAAAGAGCAATCAATTCATTCATTCACTGATTTTTTGTCGGAAATTTCGTTGGTACACAAGATTTATAAAGTATTTGCTTTGTGTGATGTAGGATACACATATAATTACATTCACATCAAGAATAAAAAAAAATCCATTGGTTCAAAATATACAGGAGTTAATCAAATAGGATGTGAAGTTGATCATTTATTAAAAGAACTGCCAACTGGTAAATCTTTTAACATCTATATGAATAACTATTTTAGTAGCATAGGTTTATTTAAATATTTACGTGAAAAAAAATTGGTGCATGTGGTACTGTACGTAAAAATACATCCAAATTTCCAAATATTCTGAAAACTGATAAAAAATTAGATGTGGATAATGTGTTATCAATTTTGTGGATGGACAATGGCCCAGTAACAATGTTGTCTACAATTCATGAGATTACTGGACCAGAAAATAGAATAGATAAAGAACATCGTCATCCAAGAACCACAGGCACCAATGCAACCAAAATTAGACATGTATTTGGAGATGCTGCAAGAAAAATATTACCCATCCCTAAAATAATAAATGACTATAACAATTATATGGGTGGTGTAGATATAGCTGATCAATTACGTGGTTATTATGCTACTCAATTGACGGCCAGGAGAACTTGGGTGCCAATGTTCTTTTGGTTACTAGATACTGCAATTGTCAATTGCTACTTAATCCATAAAAATTGCAATGGAAATTTGGATCACAAAGATTTTAGAGTAAACTTGGCTGAGATCTAATTAACTCTGGTTTAGATGAAAAAAACAATATTAATATTAGTAGGAATTCTTCAAGAAGCAATTCAAGAAGTAATTCTAGAAGTAATTCTAGAATGGCCCATAGAACAACAAGTAACTTTGCTTTACCTACAGAAAGATTAAGGCTTGGTAGGCATTTCCCTGAAATGGGTCCAAGAAAAACTTTATGTGGTGCAGATATAAAAGAATAAGAGAAGAAGGGAAATCTTTGGGAAATGAATTAAAATCTGTAGTCTATTGTATGTTATGTAAAGTTCCACTATGTTTCAAGGAGAATAGAAATTGTTTTACAGATTTCCATACACTAGAAATATAATAAATTAAATAAAAATTCAATAATAAAATTCATTAATTAATTTTGTAAAAAAAAAAATATATATATATAAAATTTATTTGAATAATAATATTGATATTAATATTAATAATAATAAAATAAAAATAATTAAAAAAAAAAAGTTGTATTGTTTCTTCCGATCTAAAAGTATCTTCCTTTGTTCTAAGTTGAACTTCTTTTGATCTAAATACAACTCCTTCAGCTCATCCATCACTTTCTTCCGCATTTCTTTTTCTATATCTTCTCCTATCTCTTTTCTTAAAGCCTCTTTTTCTTTTAAATGTCTGAGAGTTTTTTGATGTTTAAGATATACAAGAAAGTGAGTTAAATCATCATATATGCTAATTTCATCCGATATGATGATATTAGATGATGATAACTCAGCTTCTTCTCTCATTCGATTAGTAATGTCATGTTCAGAATTAATGACTAAAATACCAATTGATGTATAATCTGGGTATATAGCCATAACATCTCTTAAATCATGAACAACACAAGGATAGGTTTTGGCATGCTATAAATTAAAAAATATATTAAAAATATATTTAATAATACATACATATATTAAATAACATATCTACCTTGTACTGAACAACCAAGACATATTTTTCATCCTCGTGAACAAACACTCCCACCAAATCGACTCCACCATCTCCAGAGGACCTAAAAAACAAATATATATATATATATATATAAAGTAAGCATTGTTTCATAATTATCAAGAAGCAAAATAAACGTTCATAACAAGTTATCCACAAGTTATGGCCACGATGAGCTTTTATTTTTTTTCATATATCCTATTCACTACAGGCCCCGACACTGCAGCCACCAGCTTTTCGGATGAAAGAAAGAACGTTCACAAGCAGGTCGTCCACCATACATCGGGTCTGGTTACCCAACTGGTAACTTTCACAAGTTGTGGCCACAAAGCGCTTTCAATTTCTTTTCATTTAAATCCTAG